TTCAACCATTAACTGGCATACTTGGCGAAAATTAAACAAGCCGACCTCATTAAAAACGGATAAAACAGCAAAATCCGTAACTGGCGAAAAGATTAACATTTTAGGCGAGGTAATACTTACAGTAACACTAAATGGAGTTACCAAAAAGTTCAAAGCCTACGTATTGAAAACTTCAGATAACTTATCTGGAACAGATTGGATAGAAAAATTCAATCTTTGGGATTGCCCAATGAGTACATTTTGTCGCAAGATACAAAGTACAAGGTCCAATTTGGTAAATCTTAAAAAGGAACTCAAACAACAATTTCCCCAGGTTATTTCTGGCGGCCTTGGGAAATGTACTAAAATGAAAGCTAAGTTCAAGGTGAAGGACGGTGCACAACCGATATTCAAAAAGAAACGGAATGTCCTTTTCGCTGCTCTAGAGCAAATCAACAAAGAGTTAGATAGACTCGAACAAGCAGGTATTCTGTCAAAAACAGATTTCAGCGAGTAGGCAGCACCTACGGTCTACGTAAAAAAGAAGTCCAATCAAATACGAGTATGCGCAGATTTTTCCACAGGGTTAAACGATGCCTTGCAAGATCACCACTATCCTCTCCCAAGCACTGAAGAAATATTCAATAAACTCAATGGTGGAAATGGTTTTTTTCTAAAATTGACATCTCAAACGCATACCTTCAGATAGATGTGGAAGAAGAAAGTTCCAAATTGCTCTGCATAAACACCCATAGAGGGTTGTACAAATACAACAGACTGGCTTTTGGAGTAAAGGTTGCGCCTGCAATTTTCCAGCAGGTCATGGACGCCATGCTGGGCGACCTTGACTACGCAACAGCCTCTTTGGATGATATACTGGTTACTAGTAAAACTACGGCAGAGCACCAGAACCATATAATAAACGTATTCGAAAAGATACAAGAATACGGATTTAAGGTTAAGGAGGCAAAGTGTGACTTTTTCTTACCAGAGATTAAATACTTAGGTCACATTATAAATAAAGACGGTCGTCGGCCGGATCCAGAAAGAGCCAACGCGATCAGAAACATGCCGACCCCAGATAACGTTCAAGCGTTACAAAGCTTCCTCGGCCTAGCCAACTTTTACCCAGGGTTCATTAAGAACATGCAAAATTTGAGAGGGCCTCTCAACCAACTTTTAAAAAAGGACAAACCATGGTCATGGACCCCGGAGTGCCAATACGCATTCGAGAAAATCAAGAAAACTCTTACTTCAGACCTCTCCCTCACCCATTACGACCCTAGTCTCGACATCATAGTCGCAAGTGATGCAAGCTCGTACGGCATTGGTGCTTGCATTCTGCATAAACTGCCAGATGGTTCGCGAAAAGCTGTGGCTCACGCATCAAGATCTCTACTTCCAGCTGAGAAACAATATTCCCAAATAGAGAAAAAAGTATTAACAGTTTTATGTTTTTTTCTCCTTTTCAAAAAGAAAAAAAAAGAAAACTCTTGGAAGGGGGGTATTGTGAGACCGTAACATACCTACAACATGGACTCTTCCAGGACTATATAAAGTATGCGACATAACACTCTAGAGAGAAGAAGAAAAGGAGGAGAGAGTGTATTCTAATACCGTAGTATCAGCGGCGTACGACTACCAATATTGGACACTAGCACATAGTAAGCTCCGCTTACACTTACACTATCTTTGTAACCTTTTTGTTTAATATATCTTTCTTACCTCTAATCCGTGTTCCGTGTTTTGCTTCCGTGGTCCCAACTTTGGGTCCACATTAAATACATACTCAAGTTCTGTTTGTATAGAATCTATCATATTATCTTAGGCGTTGAATAAATATTCCTGAAAAGTCATGAATATACTTTTCTTTGTACGATGTCCTATTGACACTTCTCTTGATAAATGATTTTGCCAATGGTATACTATGATGATTGACTACCTGTTTTTATTCAGTCAGTAGCAGAAAAAGCCATTCTACACATTGCCACCAATGATAAAGTTTAATGAATCAAATTCACTCGATTACTTTCTACATACTAATTCTTTTGGTGAACAAAACATACGGAAAAATCTCATAAAATAAGAAAAAATTCCATATATGTTTTAAAATCGGATATTTAGTAAATTTCTTTAGAAAAACATTTGGGGAATGGATTGCCTTGAAATATCGTCAGCAGTGAAATTCAAAACAAGTACAAATTCTACCAATTATAGAATATCTACAAATTATGGAAAAACAAAAATCGGTATTTTGACGCGATGAATTATAAAGATTCAGCTATTGACGGATAGATTTTTGAAAATGACCCAACTAACTTGCTTTCCCAGATGACAATGTCTCTCCCTATACGCAGTACTAAGTTCATGCGTGTCTTTGCTTTCTCGCGTAACGTTTTTATGCTAATTTGATCTCGCGAAAAATTTGTATACGCCAATTCTCCTAGATCCGAGATCGTGTCCTTAAATTAAGGTGTTAGGGCGGCCATGTTTCTTTCTCCTTTCTTTCATTCGTTTTGAACGTCAGGCATATACGTGCTCGGTTTGCCACACGAGGTAAGTCATCATCTCTTCTATATTTCTTCTGGGCGCCTGCTATCATAGTTATCCACATATACTGTTTCTCTATTATATGGGAATTGTAATAAGTATATGATAAATATTATAGATTGTTTTCCCTGTGAATTTTCCACGGTTTGGAATTCAAAACAACCTTTCTCCTAGACAGGCTGCTATCAAAGATCAGAGAAACTTGTTATTTAACTCATAGCTTGAGGAAAAAGAGATGGCACATTTTGGCTAAAATAAACGCAACAGACAAAGAAGGAACTTAAATTCGGTACGCTGATTCCACTAAGTACCCTGATAATAGTTTCGCTACCACATGTCCGGATAGATTATGAAAAGAATTGTCAAGAGAATATGAAGGAAAATAATTAATTCTAAAGTAATATGCACCCATTGTATCAGCCATTGTTTCTGTTCAGAGAGTTTTAAAAGAAATCAACATTATCTTGATAAAGCATCAAAATCATGATTTTCCACACATTATATTTTTAAAGAGAGTTTCAGCCCCCTTCGATGAAAAACATACTGGGCATATTTGATGCCAATAGCTATTTACCATTGCTCAGTTTTATTATTATGTTTTAATCGATGTCCTTTATTGCCTTCATCAAGCGTTTAATTGATTCATTTAATTATTTTGAATATAAATAACTTTAGAACTGGGTATAAAACAGAAAATGTGAACATAGAAATTAACATTCTTTTTACTGAATGTCAGTTTTACACCACAAGCGATCTTCAGACCATGTCGTGTAAACGTCGGCTAAAAGAGTCAACGAGAGAGGACAGATGTGGAATAACAATATAGCAGAAAATTCTCTTTGGAAAAGAACTCACAAAATGGCGGTGATAACATGGTCTTTAACATATTTTGTTTTTTTTTTTACTTTCATCTTCAATCAGAAGACAACGATACGAAAAGAAACGAATATTAAAAGTATGTAAAAAAAATAGGTCATTGTATGATCAGTCATGGTAGAATGTTTTGGTTAGTACATTTCACACTGTTAAAATGAAATAAACAGTGACTCTTCATTTTAAAAAATTGAACTAATGATTTTTTTAGTTTTTAAATGCATAAATGTGTGTGGTTAGATTCATAAATATAAAGCAGAGTTTGTTGTTTATAAATAAACAGAAAATATTGGAAAAAGTGGAAACGAGAAACTAGTAATGTTTTTGAAGAATTTTAACTTTTTACGATGTCATTTTTGCGTATTGTATATGAATATGACTTATGCACAAATATATTTGATGATATATATTAGCAAACCTTTTAAGGTCAAATGAAGTAGGTAGTAATTTTATCGACTGTATATAGAAATCACGAAACAATGAAGCTTAGATATTTTATCGATATTTTTTAATATATAAGTGTGATTATTGGTACTTAAAAAAGAAGCAAAGTTTAATGAAATATTTTGTCGTTTAAATTTAGAATTTACGAGATTTCTTTTACGTAAACTGTCATAGACGCAGCAGTTAAATGTCTATTTTTGTCCATAAGAAGAGAGAGAAAGAGAGAAAGAGAAATAAAGTTAGAGAGAGTGAATGAAAAGAGAGAAAACAAAAAGAGTGAGAGAAGAGAGAGGGAAAGATTTAAATTAGATATTTTATTCTATTAAAAACAAAAATAATAAAATAGATTAATATACAGTTATATTCAAGAATGAAAACCGTTTTTGGAAAGTATTTCTTAGCACAAGTGTTAAAACCTAAATTAACCTTTAATTTTGGAGACTTCTGGGGTTATTGGCCCTCGTTCGATGGCGTTCCTCCGGAGGATTGGCACGCCTGCGTCTCGATTAAGGGACGAGCCTCGCGAAACGGATTGGCTCTTGCAGCGTGTCTCACTGGCGATGGTTCGAGGTAATGCTTTGTCCATCATTGCAGCTGGCAGAGGATAGCAAAAAAATTCTTTATAGTTACTTTATTCAAACTTTTTTTTCAATAAATGTGCAACGTCAGAGACAGTTTAAATGTTCTGCATCAGAGTCAGTTTAAGTGTGCATCCTCAGAGACTGTTCGAACGTGAAGCCTCAGAGACTGTTCGAATGTGCAGCTTTAGAGACTGTTCAAATGTGCAGCCTCAGAGACTGTTCGAATGTGCAGCTTCAGACACTGTTCGAATGTGCAGCCTCAGACACTGTTCAAATGTGCAGCTTTAGAGTCTGTTCGAATGTGCAGCCTTAGAGACTGTTCGAATGTGCAGCTTTAGAGACTGTTCGAATGTGCAGCTTCAGACACTGTTCGAATGTGCAGCTTCAGACACTGTTCAAATGTGCAGCTTTAGAGACTGTTCGAATATGCAGCCTCAGAGACTGTTTGAATGTGCAGCTTCAGAGACTTTTCGAATGTGCAGCCTCAGACACTGTACAAATGTGCCGCTTTAGAGACTGTTCGAATGTGCAGTCTCAGAGACCGTTTAAATGTGCAGTTCAGAGACTGTTCGAATGTGCAACCTCAGAGAGCGTTTGAATGTGCAGCCTCAGAGACTGTTCCGATGTGCAGCCTCAGTGACTGTTCAGTGCATCAGAGCAGCCTGTGCAGAGACTGTTCAGATGTGCAGCCTTAGAGACTGTTCAGAATGTGCAGCCTCAGAATGTGCAACCTCAGAGACTGTTCCGATGTGCAGCCTCAGAGACTGTTCGAATGTGCAGCCTCAGAGACTGTTCGAATGTGCAGCTTTAGAGACTGTTCGAATGTGCAACCTCAGAGACTGTTCGAATGTGCAGCCTCAGAGACTGTTCGAATGTGTAGCTTCAGAGTCTGTTCGAATGTGCAGCTTCAGAGACTGTTCGAATGTGCAGCCTCAGACACTGTTCGAATGTGCAGCTTTAGAGACTGTTCGAATGTGCAACCTCAGAGACTGTTCGAATGTGCAGCCTCAGAGACTGTTCAGATGTGTAGCTTCAGAGACTGTCTGTTCCAGACACTGTGCAGCTTTAGAGACTGTTCTGAATGTGCAGCCTCAGACACTGTTCGAATGTGCAGCTTTAGAGACTGTTCGAATGTGCAACCTCAGAGACTGTTCGAATGTGCAGCCTAAGACACTGTTCGAATGTGCAGCCTCAGAGACTGTTCGAATGTGCAACCTCAGAGACTGTTCGAATATGCAGCCTCAGAGACTGTTCGAATGTGCAGCTTCAGAGACAGTTTGAATTTAGAGCGTCAAGGACAGTTTAAATGTACAGTATCAGAGACATGGTTGGAAATCTGTCAAAATTCCTCGACTAGAAACTCTGATGTATGTTTACCTGTATCTATGTACCTGATTCGTGTGCGGATTGTGAATTTTAAACGTTTTTACATTGATGGGGAAAATGGAGAAAAATTAGATGCATTTTCGTCATTTGACGTTCTTCTATTTCGTTCAATTCAAATTTAGTACAAACTTAACCATAAAAAAAACCTTTTTCGGGTCATTTGCTTATATGGTGAGTTCACAATGCATTTAATTATTGTGCCATAGTCTTGTAAATCCTTACTCAACTAAAGTTAGAAAGTATCTAATTTACAGTCAAACATTTTCTGAGATGACAATCATTTCAAATAGCTACGTAAATTTCGGTCGGTACATTTTCTGAACTTTATCGATTGCAGCAAATTATATCCATTCATGATAATGTATTTAAGTTGCCTTTACGATTTTAATCCAGTTTTCTGCATCTCAGATGCATGTCTGGGTAACTGCTAGAGAATATTTCTTTTGCGCATCTAGAGAAAGGAAAAATATGATAATATGGTTTTTACAAAAAATTCTATATCCCTTGATCTTTGCTGCAGACATTAGAGTACTCTTAACTTTCACTCGTTAAGAAAAATATATTTTGTTTATGTCATACTAACTTCTTCATTCCTCGTAGCATCCAGTAGAAAAATAAAGAAAATCTAAGAAGTGAGACAAACCTAAAATTGGAGTTATAAATAAAAATAAATTGCAATGTAAATCTTAGAATTAAGCAGAAACATTCGAGATTTTCCCGTTGAAATTGGAGAAACGACCAGAAAGAAAAAAAAATGAGAAAAACACAATATGTCCAGATGTGAAAAAAACAAAACAAAACAAAATATGTCCAGATGTGAAAAATGACAAAAATTCAATATGTCCAGATGTGAAAAATGAAAACAAAAAAACAAAAACAAAATACGTCCAGATGTGAAAAATGACAAAAACTCAATATGTCCAGATGTGAAAAATGACAAAAATTCAATATGTCCAGATGTGAAAAATGAAAAAAAAAACAAAAACAAAATACGTCCAGATGTGAAAAATGACAAAAACACAATATGTCCAGATGTAAAAATTGACAAAAACACAATATGTCCAGATGTGAAAAATTAAAAAAAGAAAAAAAAATAGAAAAGGACAAATGAAAGGGAAAAGAAAAAAAAAGAAAGGTATGAGTCAGCAAGTGAGGAACAGCTTAAACCCTCATGGAAATTGAAATCATTGAAACAAGTTCGAATTCTGGCTCAGTAGATTGTACTAATTTTCGCCTTCTGAGGACCAAATCAGTGTTCAATGATAATATATTGGGGTTAACATTAGTAAAGAAGAAACAGAAGTATTTCTTTTTTTTACTTAGACTTGGAATTCAAATAGCTGTTTCTAAAATCGCAAGGGTAGTTTCGTATCTGATTTTTTTGGTTTGAAATAAAATAACTTCTGTTACTCTTTGATATAAAACATTAGATCCTCAGTGACCAACTTATCCGTTTACTTGTGTCGAAGGTAAAATTTAAAATTCTGATTATCAAGTCAGGCATTTGTCTATTCTAGTGTTTAGTGCTATATTTATTCGTATTCTTGTAAAATATATGATGGAAAATAAGTATTGAAAGAGCTGCTTACTAATTTATCCCGATCGTATATAGCCCTACGAAGGTTAACTTTGAAGTGGTGTATAGCTTTACCTCAGTAACCAAAAGCCAGTGAATCTATCAAACACGACAGAGAATCAGTTTCTCGACTCGCAGTAGCCAAGAAATGTGAACAAAGAAAAAAAAAAGCAGTATAAAATAAAACATCGTTGTATTTTATATATCTGAATGTTTTTATTTGTAGAAGTTAGGTTTTTACTGTTACTTTTCACTGCAACCAGATTTCACCTAGCAGTCGGCTACGATCACTGACCCAAGGAAGACTTAACCCCGAAACCCCCAGCCCTGTACGTGTCAGACACATTTTAAGACCTTCCTTCTTCAAGACAATAATCTGGAAACATTTCTTGTCCCTGACGTCTGGTACTTTTTATTGTCTTGATTTTTTTGGTTTTGCGGTTTTTAATCTACTTTTCTTTCATTTTTCATGTTTTTCGACAATAGTTTTACTTTAATTTTCTTTTTTTTTAATTATATTGCATCTCTTGCAATTGCTTCGATTTCATGTTGCCATTTTTACTTCACGCATTCTAAACTTCTTACTCTTCTCTTCTTCTTTTTCTTTCTTTTCTCTGTTATTTTTGCCTTCTTCTTGACTTTACTGGATTTTTAAAAATGTTTCTCTCCTCCTTTGATCGCTTCCTCTTTTCTCTCTCTTTCTCGATTTTTCACTTCCTTTCTCGTTTGTTCTTCATGTTGTTTTACTGCTTTTTTATCGGTGGCAGACGATTACTGATTCTTCGTTTGGGCGACTTGACCAAATCCGGTATTTGCAACCTCCTTCGTCCCCAGCTCGAATATCTTTGATTTATCTGCAAAGTTACAAGAGTTTGCGTCCAAGCATTTGGGGGGGGTATATGTGTGTGTGTGTATGTGTGTGTGTGTGTGTGTGTTATGAGGACGGGGTGTATGAGTCTTGAGTCCGAGGGCGTTCCATAAATCTGCTTCCAGTGGTTTCGATAAGAGCCTCAGCCATTCAATGCTTTGGTTCAATGGATGTTGAAAAAAGTTTCGTTCATGAAAAATGGAGAGAGAGAGAGAGAGAGAGAGAGAGAGAGGGGGGAGAGGGAGAGAGAGGTCGTATAAAAGAAAGAGAGAAGATTTCTACAAAATAGAGAAAGCAGAAGCGCGGAAAAGAACGAGAGAAGTAAAAATCTACAACATAAAGAAGGAAGCTTATTATGTCCTTTGCGTCAGTCAAAAAGATTTTGCGGGAAAACGAAGAATGCGTGTAAGTTAATTACCAGTAAAAAAAAAGAGGAAAGAAAGAGAGAAAGAAAAGGAAAGGAATCTAAGCGAATAGATACCAATATAGAAATAGTTAATAGTGTCTGCTTATTGGTTGAAGGAGGTGCGTATATCTCACAGCCTCCAGTGGTCAGTGATTGAGTTAGGATACAAAAAAGATTCCAAATATCTGATTTCAATGCCGATATGTTATCTTTACTTGGAATATTGGTGCAACACAATCTTCCGTCAATTATCATTCTTTCGATGCCCCATTCTATGTTATGGTTTGAGAAATATCAACACATTATTGAATTAAAAAATGAAAGACTGAGGGGTTGATATACATACATACATACATAGATGCATATATATACATAGGAAAAAGAACAGGAAAAGAAAAATCATTTGGTACACCCCTCCGTTCAACCAAATGGTTAGTATTAAACTAGGACAGAAATTATTAGCCCTAATTGATAAACACTTCCCCACCGATAGTAAGCTTAGTAATATATTCAATAAGAACACCCTAAGATTGAGTTACAGCTGCTCTGAAAATCTTGAACGTATAATAAAAAAACACAATAATAAGATCTTGAACAAACCCCCATGCCTAAACAGTATTAATAAAAACCCTGCACTTAAATCAGACAATAAAAGGGAAAATTATGTAACTGTAGAAACCTAGAAGACTGCCCATTAGAAAATAAATGCTGCATTAAATCTGTGGTATACCAATGTACTATATCATCCACTGAGAGCCCTAGCACTAATAAGTTATACATTGGGTCCACGAAGAATGATTTTAAAGATAGATGGAGGCAGCATAAGTGCTCTTTCAATAATATAAACAAAAGAAATCAGACTTCCCTATCTAAATATTTTTGGCATCTGAAGGAAACAAATAGGACACCTAAAGTTAAATGGAAAATTATAAACAAGGCTAGAACATGTAAAACTTGGGATGACCCATGCCCTTTATGCCTCCATGAGAAATTGCACATAATTAACCTTCTAAATAATAATAATCTATTAAACAATAGACACGAGTTAACGGTTTTTTGTAGGCATCATCAGATTTTTGGTTTGAATTATTAGCTAAAAACTAGCATACAATATAATAACTTGTTTAATCCATAACCACTCATCAGATTCATGGTTTGAATAATTAACTAAAAACATGCATACAATATAACACCCTTCATAATCCATAGCCCAAATAAATAGTTTAAATACCCTAAAAGAAGATAACCCTTTATGAAGTCGTCAAAAAACAAACGTTACGACAGTTTTTTTACATGCACAAATCCCTTTCATAAAAAAATAAAATAAAAAAATAAATAAATCTCCATAGACATGCAAACTAGACGAGGGTTAATACATCTTCCGTTTCAAATTTAGACACCCCTACCTTTCCCTGACTTGACATCTACGAAAGTAACTCTATACTGATACTTATTATTAACACCCAACGCTCGCCTACCCAATTTAAACAATTCGCCCTAACTGTTACCATGGAAATTTTGATTTCAATTTTTAAAACACGTAAATTTCAAAAACACGTTATTCCAAAAAAAAATTTCGCTTGAAGATGGAACAGAGCTTATTTTAACTCAATTTAATTTAAATAATTATATTGAAGTTTTCGGCTCTTGTTTTGAAACATGGGACTTCTTATCATATTTTTAAATAAATAATTATATTTATGCTCTACTTTTTTTGTATCGAGCACTATTTTTTTTAAAAAATAATAACTAAAAATACTAAGGGACTTTGGATTATTTACCCAACCAGTTCCTTCATATTTTCTATATTTTTTCACACACATATATATATATATGTGTGTGTGTGTGTTTACAGAGAGAGAGAGAGAGAGAGAGAGAGAGAGAGAGAGAGAGAGAGAGAGAGACAGAAATAGAGAGATAGAGAGGGGAAGAGAGGAAAGAGGAGATATACAGTGTGAGATTGTGAGAGCGAGAAAAAGAGACACAAAACAAACCGAGAAACGAGAAAAAAGAAATGAGACTAAAGAAGAAAAAGGTGAGATTGA